AACGGACTGTTTTTAATGATTCTGTTTCCCGTCCCGTGGGGAATAACCTTGGAGTGCCCCAGGGAAGTGTATTAGGGCCCCTATTATTTATTATGTATATTAATGACTTGCATCGTGTTTACGATTTTGCGACATTAATCTTTTGCAGATGATACTGTGTTATTCATTGCAGCTAAGGATGGTAGATGGTTGAAGTATAAGCAGTTGAAATTGAATACAAGTATAACTAAATTTATGGTAATTTCGCGGAATCGAGTAAATGAGAACGTCTCTGTTGTAATTGATGATGAGACTATTGATCACGTTCGGGAGATTAAATATCTTGGCGTGATTATTGATGACACACTTAAGTTCAACTCTCACATTGACAATATCATCAAGAAAATTGCCAAGAAGTATGGAATTCTATGTCGACTGAAAAACGATTAAACTATTGCCAGTAAAATACAGTTATACAAATCAATCATCTCTCCTCATCTAGAATTTTGCCCTTCCATTTTATTTCTGGCCAATGCAACACAAATATCGAGATTACAGCGCTTGCAGAATAAAATAATGCGTTTGATTTTGCGATGTAATAGATTCACTTCCTCAACTAGATGCTAGACGCCTTACAATGGTTGTCGGTGAAGCAAAGAATTGTATATATTTGACTATGGTTTTCATTTTTAAAGCAGTTAACGGTTTGCTGCTTTGATATTTGTGTGATCGAATTGAAAGAGGAAGTGACTTTCATAGATATAATACTAGAAACGCGGTTGAAATAAGAACACCACATTTCTTGACTTGTGTTTCACAAAATTCATTATATTATAAAGGAATAAATGTTTTCAATTCGATGTCTAGACATATCAAACGTTCAACAACACTTACAGAATTTAAAAGACACTGCCTTTCACACGTTAAAACTGTCTTTTGAACTGTTATCCAGTGATTTTTTTTATGAATTGACAAATTATGTATCTTGACGAAGTTATCTCTAACGGATTATTTTATATGGATAGCTGTCATAACGACTTTTTTAATAATTATTGTAGCACTGCAAAAATTATTTCTGTTCGCCACGGTGGTGTTGATGGATTTTTATTATTTGAAAAAAGTAGTTTACAAAGGTTTGAGCCTTGCGCGCGTATAACCGATATAGAGGACTGAATTTAACATTTGATAAAAAAAAATGCAATGTTGAAGCTTATTTGGAAGATACCTTGAGTTAGAAGTAAGTTTTCTGGAAAATGTGAAGTGGTTCGTGAGCATTCCTGACATTGCTGAAAATTATGATAGCATCAGATTGCGGGGTTGCTAGTGTAATAGGATGCTTTGTTGATTGTTCATTAACTCTTGATTGCTTGTAATACTTATGAATATTTTAGGTGGACAAAAAGGCGAACTAAGAGGTGGACGCCTGAGCTTTTCCACATTTATATCGCTGTGAAGCAACTGTAAACTCTAGAGGGAATTTATATCTGTAACTGAAACCAGTTCGATTTTGTTTGCCAACCTGGTTAAAATGTCATATTTAATTATCTTAAAGATAAATCGTCCAGCTCAAACCTTTGTAGGGGTAAGAGGTGGGACCATCATTATCATCATCAAGTGTTGTAGTTAATTTGGCTCAAGTTTTCTCAATGTTTCACCGATTCAAACCAAACACCCTGCACATAATCGAGAAATTACCAGAGATTCATAAGTCACACTTGTTGGTCTCGTCGCGGTTCTGTATTTACACGGATATTCCTTGGGGTTTGTCCAATGGAGAGACATTTTCATGATATTTATTTTATTTCTAATATGATCCTTTCCCAAGTAACAATTTTGGTTTTATGAGGGTTCTGTAGACAATGATTTGGACTTGTAGAATACTATAAAACCTCTATAAAGCTTGCAATGTTACTTGGGTTTCGTTGTCAAATCATAACTGAATCGTATATATGTGAAGTAATGTTAGAGAGTTGTATAGATTTTTCTCCTTTAGCTTACTTAAATCTTTGGTTTTTATTAGTTAGGTAGGTTCCGATTCAACACATTGTAGTTTCATTTTTATACCTATGATCTTGACTTTTTTACCTAGGGGATGAGTACTTAAGGGGGTTTGATTTTGATAAGTTCTTTAGTGGGAATGACACTGATGAAGACTGCACATTGTAGTCGAAATACGTATCTGTCATGGATACCAAAATTAATTAAGTGGAATTAAATGGAAGATAAACCCTTTTGCTGTTTTATTGTATATATGTGACTTTGTGGATCATGCACGACTTATTACTATGTATACCGGAAATCGTCCAAATCGTCCAGGACATCAGTTGATTTGTTCTACTAGATCAACCAAGACTTCAAAAATTTCTGTAGTATCGAAAAATTTCCAATCAGATTCAATGCGTCTATGTGGATCATGCATGATCTATTTCCGAGTAATCCAGATATTGTAGTTTCTTCAAATCGTCCTGGAGTTTAGATAATTTGATCTACTAGATCAACCGAGATTGTGACAATGTCTTTAGTATTAAAATATTTTCAGACAGATGCACAGTGTCTATGTGGATCACGCATGAACTATTGTCATGTATACCAGATGATCTAGGTTCTCCAAATCGTCCTGCAGTTCAGATGATTTGTTTTACTAGATCAACAAAGACTAGGATAATATCTGTAGTATCGAAATATCGATTTGGAAATCCTAGAACATTTGGCATACACGGAAATAGGTTGGCATGATCCACATGTTTGGACATATTTTGATACTACAGATATTGAATTTAGTTTGGGTGATCTAGTAGAAAAATAATCTGATCTCCAGAATGATATCAGAACTTATAACATCTTGCATACGTAGCAATAGGTCGGACACGATCCACATAGACACTTTGAATCTGCAGAGACGAACCAGCCAACGGCTGAAAGTCTCTATAATAAAGAAATCTATCAATCAATCACTTTGAATCTGTTTGGACATATTTCGATACTACAGACATTATTGCAGCCTTGGTTGATATAGTAGAACAAATCAACTGAACTCCAGGACGATTTAGAGAACCTAGAATATCCGGTATACATGGCAATTACTCGCATATATACGATTCGTTTATGATTTGACAACGAAAAATGCTGAGTTCGTATTGGAAATAAAAAAAACATGAAAATGTCTCACATTGGACAGACCCCAGGAAATTTCCGTGTAAATCGGGTGGAATTGGAATTGGAATTGAGATCAGAAATGCAGTCCAATTCAATTTACGTAAAGCATATAAAAGGAATTGTTTTTGGACATGCTTTCTTCGTGTATGGAAATGTATGGATTCCATACTAGGTGGCAGTATTCCAGTATTGGTCTTGCATAAGTGATATTTTTTGTTTGTTTCTTTAATAAAGAGACTTTTAGCCCTAGGCTGGTTCGTCTCTAATTGTGAGAAAGTGTGTTTTCACCAAACGATTATATTTCTTCCTCATCTACTATGTTTAACTGCGTTTATGAATAATTAACTTAAAAAAATATCAAAAGTTCATACCATAACATGTCTAACTTCCCGAGCAATGTCTGAGATCAAATTGAAATCTAAACTTGATGTTGTGATTTCGCTGATAATGATTGCTCAGGTTGCTGTCGTTTTGGTCGTTTTAACGGTTAAAATATCGAAATTGAGAGCAAACCAATCTTCCTCTGACATCACATTGAAAACTATTTCTGCTATCAGCAGGGATGGAAAATCATTTACATTGATTTCGTGCATTAATTTACATTCATAACTTCTATAACTATATAGTCTATTACTTTTTTCATCAACAACATGCATTCATTTACATTCATTTGTCTATAACTTTTTTCATCAACAAAATTTCGTGAAATAGTGTAAAAAGCTTTTGTAGGCTTCGATATTAGCTACATCTTTTGTCAACAACTCAAATCTGTATCTCTTATGCATGATGAACCAGATACATCAGAACCAACCTTTGATTTTCAGTGAAAGTAAATTGCATTCACTGAAAAACAATAACATGTTCTGCCAGCTCTAGTTCGTCATGCATAAGAGATTCAGATTTTAGTTATTTTCAAAAGTTGTAGCTTATCTCAAAAGCTACAAAAGTTTTTTACACTATTTCACGAAATTTTGTTGATGAAAAAAGTTATAGACAAATGAATGTAAATGAATGCACGAAATGAATGTAAATGATTTTCCATCCCTGGCTATCAGTGAGAGCAAACTGAAAACTTAATTTGATATCCATTTTTCCTGTTGATAACAAATCAAGTATTCAATTTGACGTTATGCTAAGGCAATGAAAACAAACTCGCAACAACATATTTCTGAAGAGCAAATGTACAGCAAAATGAAAACAAAATTAGGTATCTAATTTGTCAATTGCGTAAACTGAAATCAAATTATGACTTCAGTTTGACTTGATTTCAATTTGCTGTCATTTTGATGCTGAACTTTGCTTGGGTTGTTATCAACATTTATTGACTAATATCAAAATATAATGTATAAATTTATGACGACAAGCTGCTCAAAATAGCAGTCTGTAATTCCGAACCAGAATCCCCCTCCAATTCAATGTCTTTTGTGAATTCCAGGGCGGCTACAAGATTTTCTATGGAATTGAGATCATTTCTCGATTATTTGCAGGGTGTTTGGTTTGAACTGGTAAAAAAATGAGAGCCAAATGAACGACAAATTTGATGACAGCAAAATAATCCGGAACGGAAAGGTTACAATGAATTCCACAATTTGCGTGACAGCACATCAGTCCCTTCGCGATTTTCGCGACATCATTTAATGTTTCCGCGATTTTCGCGACTGAAAGTTCAAATCCGCGACAAATCCGGGAAAATCGCGAAATCCGCGAAATTCGCGAAAATCCGCGCCTGTTGTAACAGCCCTGCAATTGGTACATTCTCTTATTTGAAATAATCCACCGTAAACTACAACTTGTACGTGGATAGGAAAGAACTCAATTCATAACACTGTTTGATGGTAAATAACATAGTCAATCATAATACTTACAAGTAAGACGAAGTAAATGGACCGCTAAATCTCCTACTAGAGATGCTTTGGACTTTATAATTCTTGAAAACATACGAAAGGATATCAACGTTTATAAACATATAATAGTTGATCAGATGTAATCAAACTGAGACAATTACCAGAAAAGTGCACGATGGCATACAGTTGCAGTCCATTCCCAGATCTAAATTTAAATGTTCTTCCGCTAACTCTCTCGGTGGCTTTAGGCTGAAAAAGTATTCTTAATAGATGGAAACCACGTATTATAACGTTATACAAAGGTGTGACCGTAAATTCTTACTTCTGAAATGTCTGAGACAGTTCACGTTCTTCAGAGTGCATATGCTAACTCCCTCTACTTCTGAGATATCTAGAGATCACAGAAGTAAATTAACTCAGTTATATACTTAAAACCCAATCACTAAAACCAACTCACTAAAATCAGCATAGAAAAATGGCACACAACTGCAAAGCTTGATGATCGTTCTCAACCGACACTCGGACATGCACAAGTTCAGACTGAACCTATTGTGTGACTGCAACGTCCCTTCGTTCGGCATGAAGCACTGTCTCTGCTGTAATGGAACCCGTTTCAGGGAATCGCTGCTTTCGATTGGGATCGGCGTGACACAAAAATCCACATCCCATCCGGGTTGCAACGTGTCTTCGAAATCCGAATCCGCCGGAAAATCTCTCGGACTGTGAACGAATACTTCTGCCCCGTAGTACGATTTCGTGGGTGCCATGTACTTCTCCGGGGCGATGTCCACCATGACGGACAGACCGACGTTCTTGCCGGCACCGGAAAGCCTTATGTTGGGAGGAGGGAACGATCGCATCGGAGATTTATTATCGACGTACATGGATTTGTCGACGTTGAACGAACAGCAGAATCCGACGTGGGTTTTTGTGGTCTGAAAGAACTTGGCGCAGGATACCTCCGTCCCGAGCCAGTAGCAGTACTTGATCAGCGATTCACAGGGTTGGTTCAGCTCTAGGAGCATCTTCGCCGGCGTGTAACCAAGACCTCCAAGCATTCCCTCATTTTCGTACGATGCGTTGGTTGATTCGAAGTTTACCAGGCTGGCCATCGATATGAGTACGTCGTTTGCATCCTGCCGTGACATACCGCGCCTTATTCTGAAAGGAAAAGTTTTACATATGAATCAAATAAATGGATAAAGGATCAATTTAAATCAGATCAAGTAGTGACAAAATAGCTTTCAAAAACGTGATAAACACAGGTATAATATTTTATAATTTTCATCTCAACATTTAACAATCTGATATTCAATGAATAAAAGCAGAAATTTACAAGATCATGTAAGTTTTATATCTTTGTTCAATGAAAAATAAATATTAATTTTTTCGTGAGCTATGCACTTTTTTGTAAGTTTAAGAATCTGGAAAAAAAAATGCATAAGCTCCAAGTCATTTTTTTTTCGGAGGCTCATATCCAAGTAACATTATAAGATTTATGGAGGCGAACCAGCCCAAGGCTGAAAGCCTCCTTAATAAAGCTAAATAATAATAATTATAAGATTTATTGAGATTTTAAAGCACTCTACAAACCTAAACCATGGTCTTCAAGAGCGTTACAAATCCAAAATGGTCGCTAGGGTACTTAATTCGATCGATATTAAGCTGAATTGGTTGCATTAGATCCAATATTTGATAGTGATTTTTTAGAAACCTTCAGCTTGAAAAAACATTACGAGATCGCAGGCAAATCACACTTTTTTTTTGAGAATTGTAAATTAAAAAAAAACTCTTCAAAATTAAGAAACTTTAAGTTTAAACATTATAAAACTAAGTTTTTTTTTTTCAAATTTTGAAATTTGTTTTAAAGTGTTAGCACTATTTAGGGTCCCACCGTAGCCCAAAGACGATGACTAGTACACTAAGGGTTCTTCATCTTCTTCATTTCTTTATTTAACGTCGGTCTCTGTTCCGCAATCTAGTGCCAATCACCGACGGACATCGATTTCCATCCATTGACGGCAATCGAATGTGCAGGAAGGCTCCTGCGCAGGATATCGCACCCACTCAAACACACATGGGCCGGGACCAACGGCTTTATTTCTCTTCCGAAGGAAGATTGACCAGAGATTTTCATGCCTCAGAAAAATCCCACCGACCTCGGCTGGGATTGAACTCAGACCCATTGGAGTGAGAAAGCAGTCGGGCCACCGGCGCCAGCTACACTAAGGTTTGCATTACTGTCTAAAGTTGATTATTATTTTCATCTAGCTAACCTAAAAACTTTATTAAATTAGGTCTGTCAAAATGAGTTTGACAGCGATTTGTTGTGTATTTTCCTAGGATTTTCACTAACACGCTCTCGCATATCACACCAATACCACCGAACGTGAAAATCTCTATGCATATGACGTGTTTGTTTGTTTACATTTATCTGCTGCTTGCTCCCTTATCCATTCAAATCGACAGAATTATCAAAAGCTGTTTGAAAACGTTATAAACAACGCTGTTGCTATTGTCGGCAGCCTCTTTTTCTTCGGCAAACTTGCCATTCAAACTGCGTGTTAATCAGCTGTTCTATTATCGGCAACTTTAAATCTCTCGAATTGAAATTTTATGATAAGAAAATTCTGGCATAACAAGATTGCTCAGTCGTAAACATTTAATCAGAGTGAAACTAAGAAGGAATCGGAAGAATGCATTCAGTGAAATTAAAGTTTAATTTTTGGTTGCCAAAATTAGTTCAGGATACCAAAACTTTAGAGGTAAATCTAAAAAATAGCAATGCCCTAGATCGTTGAAAAGTTTTAATACCCAAGGTGGTGATAATGATTTTAAATGATTAAAGTGAGATTCTTGAGTAATTTCTAAGCCTTGAACAGTTAAATCTTTGTCAACTTTTGCAATCTCCAAATGTTGTTCTATGTCAGAATCTTCTGGAACGCTACTCAGAAATTTTAGGAAATAATAATCTTAATTTACTGCAAAATCTCCTCTTTGAATTCTTTCGAAAATTTCTTTAAATTCTTTCAAAAGCCTTAAAACTATCTTCAGTTTTAAATTCTACAACGTTTTTTTCTGTTATATTGAGCATTAGATTCTCTTGGAATCATTATCGATATCCCCTGGGAATTCTTCTTATAATTCTTGTTTTATTTATTGAATGATTGATTAACAGTTATGATGCTTTCTAGGCTCTAATTGATCATTTGAAGTACCCAACTAACAATTTTCACAAAGTAAACGCTTTACTCATTTCATTTATACAGCCTCATGATGTATTCAAACGTTATACGATATGAGGCAACCTTTACACAACCTCTATACAAGCAAATCTGGCGAACTTAGTTAGCTGTTGGGACGCTTGGAACAAGCTCTTATTGCATTTACGCTTATAAACAGCTGTTATCCTGCTGTTTAGTTGTATGCGAACTTGGAAGGTGTCTTTTCAACCTTTTCCCGGTTATCCAATAATCACTACACAGCTTTCTGTTGAAGCCGGGTTATATATTGTTTACGTTTTTGTTTGTTGGAGGAATTGATTGAGTTTATATTGCTGTGAGAATCAAATTAATCGAAATTAATAAAAAATAAGCAAGGGTTGAAACAGTTGAAGTTTTTCTACACTCGCTTCTTTGTTGTGCGTGACAGTCTGTTTGTATTCGTACTTTCAAGCTCTACCGTCGTTTCTCTCACACAAAACAACCGGTAGAATAACATTCGAGCAAAAAGAAAATTAGCAAATAACTATCATATGACATGAGGGATTTCGTTCTAATTCTTCAATTTGGTGTACATTAAACCATTTCTGATCAGAAATGTTATTCCTAGGACATCATTGCTTGTTATTTTCATAATTCACATTCGTGACGGTCTTCGGCGACAGTGTCGTATGACAGAGCATGTCAAATGACATTTGAGTTTGGTACTGTACTATGATAGCTTGTTTTGCAAGTGTCGGAGGCAAAGGCAGTCGATTATCACAGAAAATGTGTCGACTACCGTGATCACTAACAAGACTGGTTATAAGCACACCACCAAATTATTAACCCTGCACCGGAGCCTGGAGTCGAACTCGAGGCGACCGTATTGGCAAACCTTGGCACTACCAACTTCGCTACGCCAACACTTTGAACTGACGGAAACAAATATACATGACTTTCTATAATAAGGCTTTCTAATAGTGCACATGAATCACTTTTCTCGACTAGTTACTTCAGCTTTGTAAAGGAGCAGGTGCACAGGTCTAAAATTAAACTTTTAATAATGCTTCCAAAGTAGCGCTAACACAGGTTATAAGCTTAGTACAGGTTGTGTAGTTGTTGAAAAGCACTTTTGTTTTTTGTTTGTTTATTAACTTATTTGATAAGGCTCAACCGAATTAACTTTACAGAGCCGAGGATTCTTGTTCACTATACAATACATCTTAAAACTAAAGGGTGATACGGTCAAAATTTGGTCAAGGGAAAACGCGTGTAAATCGGTGAAATCGTTTATTTAAAAAATCAAATTAAATTTCTTTTTCAAGTTCAATTAGTATAAAATTCAGGAAAAATATTCAGTTAGGCTTCCGCTTTTCCAAATCCGAATTGCCGGGCCTTACGCTTGACCCCTGCCATCAGATTTTGTACAGCCACCTTGTCCACCTTCTTCGCCGCAGAAAGCCAGTTTGCCTTGAACTGCTGCTCGCCCTTAGCAGTTTTTTTGGTCTTCTTTAGGTTCCGCTTGACAATAGCCCAGTATTTCTCAATTGGGCGGAGCTCTGGCGTGTTGGGAGGGTTCTTGTCCTTGGGAACCACCTGCACGTTGTTGGCGGCGTACCACTCCATGGCCTTTTTACCGTAATGGCAAGATGCCAAATCCGGCCAAAACAGTACGGAACAACCGTGTTTCTTCAGGAAAGGCAGCAGACGTTTATTCAAACACTCTTTCACGTAAATTTCTTGGTTGACAGTCCCGGAAGCTATGAAAATGCTGCTTTTTAAGCCACAGGTACAGATGGCTTGCCAAACCAGATATTTCTTTGCGAACTTTGACAGTTTCATGTGCTTGAAAACATCTGCTACCTTTCCCCTTCCTTTTGCCGTATAAAACTCCTGTCCCGGAAGCTGCTTGTAGTCGGCTTTGACGTAGGTTTCGTCGTCCATTACCACGCAGTCAAACTTCGTCAGCATCGTCGTGCACAGCCTCCGGGATCGCGCTTTGGCCGTCGTATTTTATTTATCGTCGCGATTTGGAGTCACTACCTTCTTGTAAGTCGATAGTCCGGCTTGTTTTTTGGCTCGATGCACGGTTGTAGACGATACATCCAGCTTATTTGCGGCATCTCGGAGAGAGAGGTTAGGGTTTCGCTTGAAACTACCGCCAACTCTCTTTGTCGTCTCAGCGGCTTCCGGTTTTCGATTTCCCCCCGATCCAGACTTCCTGGCTGTCGACAAACGTTCCCCAAACACTTTAATTACATTTGTAACGGTTGATTTGGCAACTTTTAGCGATTTTGCCAACTTTGCGTGCGAGTAGCTCGGATTTTCGCGATGCGCGAGCAAAATTTTGATACGCTGCTCTTCTTGCTTGGACGGCATTTTGACAACTGAAGAGTGAATTCCAAAATCAAAATAGGAGCAACATTCTACACACACACACCTTCAAAATGAGGGGTGTTCAGGTTTTTTAAATGCAAAATTGAAAGAAATACGTCAAGTTGATATTGACCAAATTTTGACCGTATCACCCTTTATAGTCAAAAGGTACAACACAATAAACGCTTTATCTTGCGCTATCCAATAAGCCTCCTCCACCAGAACGGGAGCCATTTCCAGTGCACAGTGGTCCAGAGCGGAAAAATACATGGAAATTGGGCTTTTCGCAAAATCTACTGGTGGAAGCGTTTTGATGTCTTCGAAAGAATTGTTCATAATAAAAAACGCATCTTTTCATTGGATCAGTCATTAGGGTGATTCAGTTTTAGGCTGACTTCAAAAATCTAACTCTTCAGGGAAATTTTTGGGAACTTTTTTTACTTCTTCAAAGTTGTAGAGGATGCAAAATCAAGCAACTTTGTCGAAGACGTCAAATTTTTATCTCATCATCTACGCAGTCTACGAACTGAAACAACTAGAAGGTTAGGGTGATTCATGAAAAACAGTTTTTTGACCATAACCTTTTTTTGCTTTGTATTTAGAGGAAACTATTCTTCAGAACACTTTTATTCATGTTCTTTGGCATTTTTCCTTAAAAAATGACAATTTTCTAATTCAAATATCTCGAATTAAAAAAATGATACCTCTGCCATTTTTTCAGCAAATATAGAACCAATTTTCTTCTTTCCATTACTTTCAACAGATTTGCAATTAGCGTTTTAAAGTTATATTAGTTTGAAAAATACTTGTTTCAAACCTTAAAATGACTACATCTTTTGTTTCAGTGGTCCAAACGTCATAATTAGGTGATCAAAATGTGTGTTTTTTAAAGTTCAAAAAGTGTTTTGAAGAATAGTTTCTTCTAAATACAAAGAAAAAAAGGTTATGGTAAAAAAACTGTTTTTCATGAATCACCCTAACCTTCTAGTTGTTTCAGTTCGTAGACTGCGTAGAGGATGAGATAAAAATTTGACGCCTTGTTGCTTGGTTTTGCATCCTCTACAACTTTGAAGAAGTAAAAAAAAGTTCCCAAAAATTTCCCTGAAGAGTTAGATTTTTGAAGTCAGCCTAAAACTGAATCACCCTAATGACTGATCCAATGAAAAGATGCGCTTTTTTATTACCAACAATTCTTTCGGAGACATCAAAACGCTACAACCAGTAGACTTTGCGGGAAACCCAATTTCCATGTATTTTTCCGCTCTGGACCAGTGTGCAGTGGTTTCATTGTATGGCAGATTCGCCAACGGAGGTCAGGACGCTTCCATTGCAACAATGGACGCAAAACGTGGTCATCACGAAACGATTGCTTTCCAAAGTCGACGACGCATTGACTGAAAGAACTGCTGATGAAGAACAATGAGAGGACCACACAATGGTTGCTGCCGAGTAAACAGACGATCGCGTGACACACATTCAGAGTGGTCTGCTTCTGTCGACAGCCGAAAGAACACTGAAAAAAGCACTTTTGATGTTTATGTTATTCAGCAAGAGTGGCTGGTTGTAAAGAAGCCATCTAATGAGTAATATATCCTCTTTATTAACTTTGTTTTGCAGCTACCAGATGAAAGTTGATTAATATTTGCATAGAAGTGACATTAGCGTTTATTGGCTGCTGTTATTCAGTACGACTGACAAATTGAATAATGATTGAGTAAACGCTCTTCAAAACTATTTTGCTAGCTTTTGCTTGTAGCTGTATCTGTAGCTTTTTTTTCAGCTGCTTTACAGCACAATGCTAGATGGCTTATAAAGCTGAAAATGTTAGTTGGGATTGTAGACCATTGTGCAAAGCAAGACACATAGAATCCAAATGTATCAAAATTCAAATCAATAGTGTTTAGGCATGGTTCTTAGCATAAGATTCACACATGGATGTGTTTCACAATAAGTGCAAAATTAAGTGCGAGACAAATGATCATAACGTGTGGTATTTTTTGAGTGTGTGTATGGAATTGTTTTGATTCCAAAAGGTCTTTTTTTAACGAGTAGAACAATGGCTAAAAGTACACGGGTGAAAATTTCCCTATATCTCAAACTTTAGATGATTTTTCTTGATATCTCATATTTTTTCCCAGCATTTAATCAACTTCAAAAGCACAAACATTCTAAAATAATGTCCGAGCTTAATCTTTCATTATTCAAATATCGGTCTTTCAGTTTCCCGTACTTGACGCATTTTTTTAAACTTAAAAGCGTTCAAAAATAATATTTAGACTACAAAAAAAATAAATTCTGCGATCAATATATTTTTTTTTAAATCCGGAGGATCAATCACGTAGCTCGAAGGAATTTCAATTTTTATTGAATCGACGCGTCTTTCGTGTTGCATGATTTGTACCCGAAATTGACAAAATTATTCAAATTTTGAGGCAAAATTGCAGCTCTGCGATTTATAAAAAAAAAGAAGATTCGGTATTGCACAAACTTCCAGGATAATTAATTATTGTATACTGTTTAGCATATGAGAGGGATATTTGCCAACACTTTTTTCTTGGAAAATGATACCACATATTACACTATTACTAAAGTCTATCAAATTTATTGATCTATAAAATACTTACAGCGCTTCTATGATACTGCTCGTTCTGCTTCTATCCACCTTGTTGATGTTGCAAATCGTCACCGCCGGAAAAGCGACATTCCAAATAGGATAAGTTGTAGTCTCAATCGTGGTAATCGTGGGAGTACTCTTGAACCGAATCCATGAAAGTTCCATCATTGTAATCGTAAAGACTACTCCGAACAGGGATATTATAGCCCAACCGATTTTCCCGATCGTTTTAAAGGTGGCATTTCCATGAAAGCTGCATCCCACTATATATTTGAGTCCATGGAGGGATGTATTTTCACAAAATATTTTAAACGTCTGCTGGAAAGATTTAATGTACGGTTCCACGAACTTCCGACAATTGATTGCAGTAACCGTCGCCTTCAAGCGAATTCCCGGGGGAAACATCCTGTGCGAATCGTCCTAGCTCAACTGACTGACTACGACTATAAGGATAAGAAAAAGCGGAAACAACCACCCCCATTCCTCTAATTGGTAATAAATTATGCACGGATGACACTATCATGGCAATAAATAAAACTATTTTTCCAACCTCTGTAAACACAATCTACAGGGCAATCACTTTAATTACAGGTCCATAATCGGATGATGACGATAAAAGGAAACACGGCTAGTCCCTGTGAACAAAAGGAGACATCATCCCTTTGGCAGACAGCGAACCTCAAAATTAGAAAGTGCAACCACCGATGTCGCTGTTTTTGCTTAACATACCTATATCGATCATCTGCGTCATTTCCCTTGTGGTTTTCCTGAAATTATGCCCACCACTATACAGAACTTTTAGAGAACGAAAAGGCTCGGTGCACAGAGTGAGAACAGGTAAACAAAAATCTTACTTCATCTGCACAAAACTTGTTCTTTTGCACCCATGTTAAGCTGGTGGTGGATCACTTCTTAAGGTGCAATTTACTGGTGGTGCGACGTCGTATAATTAAAACGCATTTTTTTTTCTATACAATATTTTACATTGCAAAAAGCTATCGTCATTAAATTCCATTTTGTATACTATGATACGAGCTTTTTGCAATCTTGTAAACTTAGGTGCTCCGAGCGTTAATTTTGACATAAAATTGAGTCATAACAGACACGAAATTTACTAAAATCAAACGAAATTTACGTGGAGTATCGAATTTTTCAGTCCCTGAGTAAATAATTTTACATGACGTGATTGTTTACGTCTCATTCTTGATGTCAAAGATGGATTCCGTCACCAGTAAAATTAGTAATTGGTTAGTTAGTGCAGCAAAGCAAAGTGCACCTTAAAGGATATTTTTTGTTTATTAACTGCAGTAGCAGCTGCTCACAACTACTCCGGAGCGCGGCGGTGGCAGTGCCAGTTTAACTTTACCTCGCCAGCATGGATGAACAACATCAATATCGGCAAACGGCGAAATTATAAGGTATATACATACATATCAATGAATTAAAAGCCACCGCCAACGCCTACGCAACCACAACCGTCGTCTACCTACAGCATTCGGATATATGTGATGATTGTGGTATGTGGCTTTTATTGCATAGGTACGTGCTTAGAAACGTGTAAAGGTATTTCACTGCTAGCGTAGACGATCACGTCATCGATCGTCGCCACATACACTCGGAATCTGATTGAGTGACGCTAAGCGCAGCATGGTACAGCAATGAGAGAGAGAAAGAGTGCGTATCATAATTGATCGTCTCCGAAAATCTCGGATCTCTCTGAGACTAAATAAATCAAATTGAGCAACACTTCTTGAAGGGGTGTTTAAAAAACCAAATCAGAAAAGCAGATAGCTGAGAGCCTTATAAATCTTTTCGTCAAAACGAACACATTCAACACAATGTATGAAGACAAACTTTACACTACATAATCATGCAAATTTTGAATGTGGTAAGTCATCGATTATTCTAATCTAATCCAATCTAAACTAACACCAGCACAACCAGTTATTGAAAGCATCCTGGAAAATGATAGATATACACACTAATCCAGCATTTAGTTGTTCGGTATTTTTTTGTACGCTTACACGGTAAAACGAAAGATTTACTGAAAATTCAGTTTAAATCAGGTGAATAACCGACGTTCTGTAAATAACAAACTGAACTTCGGTATCGTTTGATGCAAAATACTGTACACAGAATATTTATTTACTGAAAAAGTCGTTAATTTCCAAATTTTCGTGATTTCATGAAAAGTCAGTAAAAATAATTACTGTGCACAAAGTAGCCTTTATTTTTTTACCGACTGGTCAGCAAAATAGCCACCTTGTTTTACCGACCACGAATTGTAAAACTCTAACCTGTCAATTTTATTCCCGCCGCCATTATAGCTTCATTCAAACCCGGGAGCAAGTGTTCAATCGCGCAGTTTTGTTAAAATTTGAATTATATCATGACGGAACTGAGAAAGCTCGACAACGAAATTGAAGAACTATTTCGTTGGTACCAGCACTTATTATTTACTCTTTTTGCAGTTCCTTGATCTCCAACAAATTTTGATTAACAAAATGGATGTTTGCATTGTTTGCTTTCACTGTCGACGCGCTATTCCGGGGTACGTCAAGGGATTAAGTAGTCATATTAATTGGCATATTATAAACGGTGAATTGCACAGGATTCATGCTTGTATTACAACACATTCAATACTTTTAATATAACTGGGTAACACTGTATAATAATGAACCAAATAACTGTCTTCTCAGTTAAATTGAAGCAAAATAAACAAAAAGAAAATACTGGGTTTTCCAGTATACGCAACTCGAATCAATTACTAAATGAACAGTTATTTATGACAGATTGAATTTACGGACAGTTCGGTAACGCAAATTATTTCTGCGATGATTACTGGGCGATCCGCAATTCAAAAACCCAGTAAAATTTGACTGACTCCAGTAATCTAAAGTTAGTGCATACCTCCATCATTTTTCTTGTATATTTGATATATGCTTCACATTAAGGGGGTATTCCCAATCTTTTGCCTTTTTTCGGCCTGTTTTTCAATTAATTTTTTTTTCAATGAAAATGAATAGTAATGCGCCTAACTCTTTGGGATTCTTGTTTATTGAACATTAAAATTTACAAATATTTTTTTTTCGACATAAAAAAAGACATTATTGACGTCACAAAATGGCGGCAAACAGACACCTGTTCGCCGCAAACGCCTGGACGGGCGAAGACTTTTCTCTGGAACGGCTTCATCTGAAACAGATTTCGTGATGAAATTAATAATCTGCATAAGATTCTCTGGAGCTTCTCCCGTTGGCAGCAAAAAAATCTTGCAAATTAACAAAATGGCGGTCATATGAAAAAACAGGCAATTTTTAGCCCGCTTTTTTGCAGGTTTAAGGTGCTTCAAACAATGTTAAATGTTAATATTTTTGGCTGAAAGTGGGAGAAGCTCCAAAGAATTTAATAAGGAACAAAATGCGCAAAGATTCAAGTCAATATCTTTTATAGTTTCTGAGAAAAATCTTCGCCCGATAAAAAAAAATGTGGTTTCGAGAAAAACGCGTTTGACTCTATTGCCCGTACATGCACCTAAATGTATTGGTAAGTCTGGAATACCTGCAGAGCAGTGTCCGTCCCGACCGCAAAGTTGCGCGCGGAGAGCCGTTTTTCGGGCGCTGCATTTTTTATTTCAAGGCGCGAAAAACTGGACACCGAATTCGCTGATCGGAAAACGGCTTGGGGGGATGAAAATATATAGTCTAAAGTACAAAAAAACGTGAAAAAAAAAATTTGATTTTTTGAAAAAAAAAAAAAAAGATTGGGAATACCCCCTTAAAGATGCGTGACACATACCAAAACGGCCAGGCCTACAGTGCAGCATTTAATGGGCACGATGATGCAGAAAACATCGGGCCTGCTTAAAACGATGATTTAAACATGATTCTTCAGAATCCAATAAATGGATGAAACGTGGACATCTCGTACCGTACGTTCCGTCTTTGGTAATTAAGTGATTGGTTGGTCGTTGGAAGCATCTAGGCTAGAAAGGTTAAGTGATGCTCCATTTTCCTCTGACGTTGGGACAAGAGCACTCACTCTTGTCTTAGCCTCCTATGGCTTATGGTTATAGCGCCATTACTCGTTTTCTGACAAGAGAAGAAGGAACAGAAAACCATTTTTTTTATTCGCTATGAAAGTTTGACAGATAAAAAGAGAGGTTCGTGGATTTTCCTATGTTTCGAGGGGTGCATCGATAAGCTTGGGAGTGAGTAGAGTACCAAAGCTGAACCAAAAAGTTGAGCACGTTTCTTCGGGACCTTCTGGTCTTAGAGTTACCTCTACGATACAACGGTACTGCTTTGTATGTCTGTCGATAGTACCTATAACCAATATTTTTGATTTGAAATAAACAATAGTGGTATTCACAAAGCGCATCGTAAACGTATAAACCCTCGTAAATGCGTAAACTTCCATTACACTCCAATTGACCCTGCTATTTTTACGATAGTGTATATGTTTACGATGCGCACAGTGAATACCCCTAATATAAAAATTCATAACAGAGTTGGTCATTACCCGAGTCTTGTCATTTTTAACAAGTTTACAATTTTAACACTTTTAACGAACATAATGCTTCCGGTAAAATGTTTAACGGAAAATCGTAAATGTTTGAAAACTAACTGCTCAGCAATCCGTCAATAGACCTCCAATCTTTTTATCCTGAATAAATTATTAAAATATGTAGTTTCAAATGGCGCCAATAGATTTGTAATTCATCAACAAATGGCTGAGCTATGATTTTTCAAGCATTACAAGTTTGCCGTTACACACCTTACCGGAAGCACCGTGTTCAGAGGGTCATCAAGGCATAAAAAGCAACAAGGGCCAAAATGAGTTGTCGCTGGTGGATTTTATACCAGTAGCGCACCACGAAAAGGGGATCCACCAGCCAGCGTTACTGGTTGTACTTAGAAGTCAAGAGCAAATTTTCATTATGTCGAAAGTAACATTCAAACCGAACCGAGAAAAATAAAGTTTAGTTTTGATGACCGACAATTTATTCCTATTTCCAATTAAACACATATAATCTCATAGTTAAAGCAATGTTTAACATAATAATCAGGGTTTTACTCATACAAAGCAGATAGCTAGCTTTCATAAGTGTATTTACCATGATATTCGGGAGAATTATCGAGCACGTCTCCTTACGTGCATCCTATTAATCATTTGAGGACCACCGAAAC